TAAAACATGAGTTAGGGGTAAACAGGTGTTTTTACAGCTCTAACAGATGTCCAACTAATGGCTTGTGGATAACGATGGCACGCAGTAGAGGTTCAACAAAACACGATGGCATATTATTCAACTTAGTAAAGTCAGTGGTAGATTGTAGAAGTGGGGAAAATTCAATGGTACTGAGTGGATTCTCTCTTTCGTATGTGGGCTTCTTAATATGCCCGCTTATTTTCGCATGTGAGCCTATTAAGAGGTTTGGTCAAGAAAATTGATTTTCGCATGTGGTTCTTGAACTATGCACTGATCATTTTTGTATACGAGGATAGTTATAGTCCGCCCTGTAGTCTAAAAGATCTTGTCATGAAAAATCGATTATGTAGTATGTCTAACGTTTGGCCGTCTATTTTATTTGAAAAGTTTATGAAAAAATTAAAAAAAATAAGTCACATATAGAAAACTATTCATATTTTATCATCCAATAACAATAAAAATAGTAATATCTATCTATCTATACATCTATACATCTATTAATTGGGCACTTTCTATGAGCTCAGTAGAAAGATCTGACCGTTGATTAAATAAATCGTGTCTTTATGACCGTAGATACATTAATTGATTTAATGTACCGTAAATAACTAGAGTTAGTTTCAGATATGTTCTACGTACGTCCCAAAATAAGCATAAGCGTGAGTTAGTTTCAAATACTAGCAGCATCCCTAAATTTTCTTTGTTGACGCGCAAATATCGTCATCGAGATTTATCAACAATATCCAGTATTAGATGGACGCCTAGCCGCGAGCCCTATCATGCGAAAATCGCCCGTAAAGAAAAGTATCCTCTTCATCCTTGATTATGCGGGGAACCCTGATGCAGTCAGCGATCAAGTAACTAGCTGCCTTTGTTGGTCTAGCGGCGGTCGGCCACGCTTAGCGGCGGCCGATCCGGTGCTAGCCTTCTCTGGACGTGTGTGTTGGCGATATCGGCGTGTGGGTGGTGGTTTTTTTTTCCTTTCCTGGTTATGACTCCCCAGGATTGTAATCTTGTACTTTTTTCCTGCTCTATCAATAGAACTTCGCATTATCTCGTGCGAGTAGTTCGAAAACTAGCTGGCGCATCTGCATCATGATTCATCCCATCCAGAGGGCAATCTAGCATATATGTGTATACATACACAGCACGTACGTACTAATCTGTACAGGTAAACGAGCTTTTCTACATACTTTTGATTTTTATACAAATGATCAATATTTCTATCTCCACATCTTTATATATGTTTATGTTATGCTATTCCCAGCATGCTTGCACGGCTTGATTTAATTTGCTCATTAGTTTCAATTAGGTCGTTGCATGCATTAGATGAGCTAAATTAGTCTGCTGTATTAGAGAAAAGGCTTATAAATTAATTGAATGTGAATAGAAGCTAGACGCCCTTTCAGAAAATGCTTTCCTTCCCTCATCAGCCTATATATTATTTACGGATTCGTAGTAGTGCTATAGATATCGGCCTCACTGAAGAAAATAAACTAATATTATCCATCATTCATTAGTTGTGGGGTAGACATATAAAAACCGGACATGTATTTAAAATATAATTTGACAAAATAATATTGAATAAGATGGTCGTTCTTATCTAAATAATTTTGAAATAGGATATGTATTTTAAATAAACACAAAAATACTATTGAATAAGATGGTCGTTTTTATATATCATAAAAAGATGGAACTGATATTTTGGATTTATACATATTTTAAGCTAATTAGTTTAAGATAATTCCAATAGTCCTACTCGACGGCGGCGGTAGTGCAACCCCGTTGATTCATCTAGAATAGCTGATATAATTTATACATATTTTATATATCAAATTGTTTCCTCTCTGTAGTCTAAGCTAGACCATGGACAGATGGACTGATTCATGGCTGATGCAACCTAAATGAACTTTAGAACAAGCAAGCATTCTAAGCCCACCATATTAACCCGAGATTTATTGAGATTTTTTTTACTTTTAATTTTTCCAAAACTTAATTAATAATTACATTTTGAATTCAAATTAGTATATAAAAATTTGTACGACTCTTGAGTTAAAAAAGTATAACTTTAATTCTACAATTAAGAATCAATAGTCGCATAATTAGCACGGTGTAACCATTCTAAACTCTAAATCCAGTGCAACTCCATGTTCTTTAATAATTACTAATATAATCATAAAAAAGCTACAACTGGACTCCAAATTGGATACACCTCGGTATTTTGTCTCAGAATTTTAAATTTTTTAAATCTTGCAAAATCCATAATTCAGACTCCAAACCGAATAGTACAACTTGATATATATTAATTGGAAACATTAAAATTATTAAATAATTGAGCATCTATAATTGAAACTCCAATCAAGTGTTATGTATACCGGCATCATGCCGATAGTGTTTATTCATGCTATATACAATTTCGTAAATGCTATTTTTTTAGGATTTAAGAAAGAAATATTTTTCGTAAAAGCTTTAAAACTAAAATAGACACATAGTTTTCCCTAGCTTGTCCCTAAACGGTTTTGCTAAAAAACTGTTGACAGTTTTTTGTTTGGAAAACTTTCGATTTTCTAGCCATTAGATACGCTCTAGGATTCGTGCAACATATACAGCCAGAATTAAAAAAAAAATTCGCATGGGCAAGGCAGTCATCGAACATGATGCACACGTTAAGCTAAGCCATGCACCTTCTTATTAGCGATAACTCTTTTTTTATTATATATCACTTACACCCTAGTTATATATCACTTACATATTAGTTATAGAGTAGTTACATAGCACTTACACCCTAGTTACAAAGTAGTTACATGATAGTTATAGGGTAATTACATTGTATAAAATTATGATTTGCAATTTTTTTAGGAGCGCATATTACTTTTGAATTTGAAAGTTTTTTTTTCCCTTCTACATGTAGGCCAATTTCTTGTTGTTCAATCAGCTTGGACACTAAAATTCATGGTTTGTACTAGTGTGGATTCTTCCCCTATAACCATTGATGACAAACCCTGTAGTCAAAAAATTTGAAAGTTTTGGACCTAAATATTGTGAATAGAATTGATTGAGCGAGAGAGATTGAATGTAGAGAATGAATGAGCGATCCTTTATTGATAACAATGGTTACAATATATATAGGGGGGAGAGAGGCGGCAACAGAAGACGCGATGGTTTGGGAACCATCGCGTCCGTTACTAGAATCGCCGTGAGGCGAGAAGAGGTGTGGGGCACGACCAACCGTCGTGTCCCAGAGTTGGTTGCTGCTCTATCCATATAGTTGGATGAGATCACCCAAATATTTCATAACACTAAAAACTGTCGACAATTCCCTAACTTGTCCCTTTCATTAATATTAGCATATGGTAACGGAAGGCCGCGAGTAGAACGCGATTGACTTTTGCCTCGCTGTTGTCCATTATATTAACACGATCGGAAACTTCAGCGCAGCCGGAAGTCGCTCGCTCCAGCCACCAATTCGAATTGCATCTACACGGTCTACTGTGTTGAGTTTGCATTGTCACGCATGCATGTTCACCAACCAGCAAACAGAAAAAAAAGATGGAAGTTGAGAAGTACTCCCTCGTTTCACAATGTAAGTCATTCTAGCATTTTCCACATTTATATTGATGCTAATGAATCTAGACATATATATCTATCTAGATTCATTAGCATCAATATGAATGTGGGAAATACTAGAATGACTTAGTGAATAGAGGATAGAAAGTGCGTTTGGGCCTTTAAACGGCGGGGAAGAAAAGGCATGCATCGTCAACCTGGCCATCTAGGCATCTATATGTTTTTCTAACCTCTCCGATCCTTTTTTCCAGGGCAGGTCTACTATTTTATAGTTTTTCAATACACCGGTCAAATATCATCTGCACAAATACAATTCATTAATTGTTGATCAAATTATTATTTATTCTCTTATCCCACGTATATATATGTAATCACATTAGATTTCTATATCATGATTGTGGGTGTTTGCATGCAAGTCGATGCCTATGCCAATTGCTCACTGTATCCTCACATTAATTGAAGAATACTGAACAAATTAAACCGAAATCATCTATCTAGGTGGTATCATCAAATTAGGAGTGACATATATAAATGAACAGTCAAGACACATCGCAGCTTTGTAATTGTTAAATTTACATCAATAAATAAATGAAATACTAAATTTCAGACCCCTGCGAGGAGGGACAATCTCATATTTTCAATTCTATTTTTTCAGAATTATTAAATAAAAAAATTTGGACTCCAAGGCGAGTTCAATTTTGTATTTATTAACTGTGAGTCCACATTATCTATGATTTTTCTATTTTGAGATCTATTGAATTAGAAAATAAAAACTAGAACAAGGTTATAGAAAAGCATAAAGAACGCATTTGATACTCCAGCACTTTGCATTGATCATCAATTCTACGGTTTAAAATTATATAATAGAAAAATTAAAATCAAGATATTTTAATGTTTAGAATTATTAATAAACAAAATATATAATGGAAAGTAAATTTGGGTGTGATTTCTATAGCAATTGTGTAATTATTGACATTTTGAGTTTCTAGAGTATCTTGCAGTGAAAGCATTGGATGCTAAAAGCGGAGCATTGGTGTGGAGTAAGATTTTGTATATATTATTATTATTATCAAAATTCACAATTATTTTCAGTAGGAAAATTATATTACTTGGTTTTTATTAATCAATCTGTCAATTTAAAAATATAATTCTATGTTTAAAAAATATAATTTATACATTTCATATATATAGAAATAAAATGTAGAGTTTTGTCTGAATATAAAGATTCTTTTAAAGTCTATCTCCACGCAAATCCGCTAAGATGAAATCCACTAATTGCCTTTATGAGATATTTTTGAAAATAAATAACCAATATTCTAGAATATGATTAAGATTTTTAAAATATTAATATAGCACGTGCAACGCACGGGTTGACGACTAGTAATCAAATAATTTAAAATAAGATGCATATAACATTAATGTAATGACTGCACCCAAAACGAGTAGTATTGCAACCCAAAATCACATGAAATACAGAGATATAACATTAATTTATTACTTCGAATTTCTAGTTTTACCGCACTATATATCTGAGCATACATGTATATCTGTAAATGTTTATTTTCCAACACACCAATTAATTAAGCATTGACACATAACGGCTGAATGGTTCCCAAATCGCCAAGTATATACGACTACGACCATCACCATCCAAACGCCGAGTCGCCGACTACATCACCGAAACGATCCATCCAGCTACAGTGGAGGAGGAGGAGACGACGCCGCCGCCGGAATCCTGAAGTGGTCCAGCGCCGACCGCCCGTCGAGCCCCTTGCCGTTGAAGTGCGCCAGGAACTCCCCCGCCGTCGTGCCCCTGTACACCGCCGCCGCCCGCGCCCCGCCGCCGCCGACGACGACCGGGACGTACGGCCTCGTCGACGCGTACTCGACGCGGAAGAAGCACGCCACCGACACGCGAGCCGGCCCGGCAGCGCCGGTGGGCAGCACCCGGTGCTCCACGCTCCGGAGCCGGTCGTTCGACACCAGCTGGAGGAAGTCGCCGACGTTCACCACCAGCGCGCCGGCCACCGGGGGCACGTCCACCCACCGACGCCGCGGCTGGTCCAGCAGCGCCTGCAGGCCGCCGGAGGTGTCCTGCAGCAGCACGGTGAGGAAGCTGGGGTCGGCGTGCTTGGTCGCGCCCATCGTCGCCTCCGGCTCCGGGCACGCCGGGTAGTAGTTCGCCGCCACGCTCAGCCCGTCCGTGCACCCGGCTTCGCGGCCGAGGTACCCCGCGGGGAGGCCCAGCCCCTCCGACAGCAGCTCGAGCAGCCGTTCCCCGAGCCGCCGCGCCGCCGCGGCGTACTCCTCCAACACGCCCCTGCACGGCGGCGGGATCTCCTCCGGCGACGGCGGCTCCGGCCACATCTCGATCACCAACGTGTCGCGCCAGTTGGCCGCCGGCGAACGGAACAGGTCGAAGTTGGAGCTGAACCGGACCTTGCTGGCGACGTCCCTGGTGTAGTAGGGCACCTTCGCCTCCAGGGGCTCCTCGTTGAAGCGCCGCACCGCCGCGAGCATCGCCTCCATCAGCTCCCCGGCGACGCCATGGTTGACAACCTGGAAGAAGCCGACCGTCTCGGCTGCCGCCGTCACCTGTGAGACGACGTGGTCACGGTCGACGTCGGCCTTGGCGAGGTCGATGAGCGGGATGGCCGCGGCGGCCTCGGACGGCGAGGCGACGGGGAGTGGGTCGGGCGGGTGGCGGAAGAAGTAGGGGATGGTGGTGACGCCGGCGTCGACGAGGCCCTTGACGCCGGCCTTGGTGTCGTCGAAGGCGTGGAGGTCGCGGAGGCGGTCGGTGCCGGAGACGGTGGCCATATGCGCACGCGCGTCGTGAGTCGAGATGAGCAAGCAAACGCTAGGGCGCGGGCGGTGCAGGAACGAGGCGCGCTGGTGGCTAATTAAGACTTTTAAGAGCGACTGACGCCGCGCCGGTTGAACACTTGTGTATGGCTTGTGTATTTATAGGTGATAAAATCTTAATCTTATCTTAACTAATTAAAAGATTACTAATTTTCCAATCGTCACATTAGAATTTTCGTACCTTTTTTTCCGATTGATTCATGGCCTTGAGTACGTATCAAATACAAGCCGTAATTTTTTTTGTCCGTTTCGTCCGTTGCTCACGTCACAGAAAATCATCGCTCGCGTCAGCATGATTCATGCCTGCAATGCCGCGTCATCGCGCGATCATGAAAAAAAACGCGGCAACGGTAAGAAATAGCGAATCGAGGCGGAAAAAAAAAGCGAAGCAGATCTTCGCTTCTCCTCCCCTCCCGATTTCTTTTTTTTTCTTTTTATTTTTAAAAAATAAATAAACAATCTAAATTCCTAATCACAAACCCTACTAGAAAAATGATTTTTCATGGTGTTGGCCTAATATTTTCTCTGGCGGTGAAATGTGAAAACCGCCAGCAAGGTTTTAACGAGGGGTGGGAGGCAATGACCGCCAGCGAAAAAATATTTTCGTTGGCGGCTGAGTAATACGGGCCGCCAGTGAAGATTTTTCTATTTTCGCTGGCGGTATCTTCGGCGCGCCGCCAGCGAAAATAAGTTCATCTTCTCTGGCGGTATGATAATGTGGACCGCCATTGAAGATGAAGCTATTTTCACTGGCGGCGCTCTTTAGCCACCACCACCTTTATCGTTTTTTATGGCGGTGTGTTACGTAGCCCACCAGTGAAAATTGGTTCTCCTACATAAGGCATAGTGCCCGAGCTGCTATGCCATTTGAGCACGATTTTCTCTCTCTTATGAACTCAAACATAGGGGAGAAGTTTTTGAACTCGAATGGTTTGATAGATCTTTTGTACCAAAGGTTAGTTATACTTTATAGTACTCCATTTCTCAAGTTTTTTTTTCATTTTTATCCGTTCCATGTTGAGATTTTCCAAGGTCAAGTTTCCAAGGCATGTTCGTTTTGATTTGTTTTGTGGTGCTCAAAACGGTCAAAATTTTTATGATATATTGTACATGATCAATGTATATAGATTTCGCAATGTTTTGATAGGTTTATTTGTAGAAGATCTATATGTCACGATTGTTTTGTGCACTTTAGATCTATATCTGGTTATGGAAGAGAATTGAGAGAAAGAAAGAGGGTAGTTTGGTAATTTTGTCTAGTTTTTTCTAGTTGTATGTCTAGTTGTCATGTATTGGGAATATATGGATGGTAGTTTTTTTTTAAAAAAATGAAGTCATAATATAGTTTTAAATTTTCCGTGTTTATACTAATTGTAATATTTTTCACAATGTTTAATTTATTTTTTTACATATTAGCATAATTATTTTAATGTGACATATTATTAAAACTATTTAAACTAATTGTTAGTTTTTTTCTCAATGCATAGACGATGGCAGATAGATCATGGATGCATAGAGAGAGATATCATGCGTCATATATTGAAGGAGTCGACATATTTATGAAAGCTGCGAGGAAAAATGCTGTAGCTAAGAAGACAAATGAAATTAGATGTCCATGCAAACACTGCAAAAATCAGAAAATTTGGAATGATCCATCTGTAATCGAGTAACACTTGGTGACAGATGGATTTGTTGAAGGCTACACAAATTGGCCATACCATGGAGAAATCCCTGCAAGCTGTCAAGTTCCCAACCAAGAGATAGTAGTACAGGATGAAGTGTTCAATGACTGGAATTTCATGGTAGTAGAAGAAGAATCGGTTGATGATGATGGTTATGACACAGCTAATGATGTTGATGATGGTCATGTCACGGTAGATGATGCTGATGGTAGTGATGGAACTGCTTTTGATTTGGAGGAGATGTTGCGCCATGCTGAACCTGAAGTTGTGGCTGGCTCTGCTCGTGGTTTGGATAATTTCAATGCATTACAAAAGGCATCAAAGGAACTTTTGTACGATGAGGCAAAGGGTTGTGGAAAGGATTTCACATTGTTGCGTACGGTGCTTGAACTTCTGAGATTGAAGGCTAGAAACAATTGGTCCGATAGTAGTTTCAAGATTTGTTGGTTCTACTAAAAGAATTGTTGCCGAAGCCCAACTCAATGCCAACCAGCACCTATGAAGCGAAGAAGCTTATATGCCCGTTGTCATTGGGTGTGCAAAAGATACACGCGTGTGTTAACCATTGTATCCTATTCCGTAAAGAGTACGAGGATTTGGACAGCTGCCCAACATGCAAGAGTAGTCGATACAAAACAAGCCGTAGCCAGTCCGAGGGTCAGGATGTTGTCCTTGACGATCTTGAAGAGTCCGATCCATGCAAAGACAGCAACAAAAAGAAGATTTCCCAGCTGGTCATGTGGTACCTTCCGGTGAAAGATCGTTTGAAGCGTTTGTTCTCGAACCCGAGGGATGCCGAATTGATGCGCTGGCATCATGAAAAGCGAAAAAAGGATGGGATGATTCGACATCCTGCAGATGCAAGACAGTGGAAGGAATTTGACACAAAGTACCATAAGTTTGCAGATGACCCAAGAAACGTAAGGTTTGCATTGAGTACCGATGGAATGAATCTATTCAGTGACTTGAGCAGCTCACACAGTACGTGGCCAGTACTCCTAACCATGTACAACCTCCCAACGTGGCTGTGTCAGAAAAGGAAGTATATTTTGTTGACCGTCCTTGTACAAGGACCACGACAACCTGGCAATAACATGGATGTGTTTTTGGAGCCTTTGCTGGAGGATATGCGCGATTTGTGGAAACACGGGATCCGAGTTTGGGACGAATTCCTTCGGGAGTACTTCACGCTACATGCAATTATCTTTGTCACCGTGAACGACTTGCCCGCACTGTTTTCCCTATTGGGGCAGATCAAGGGGAAGACGGGTTGTGTTATTTGTGTGGATGGTACTGTGTACATGTATCTTAAGGGATCGAAGAAGCTAGTGTACATGCGGCACCGGCGTTTCTTAAGAAAGAAACACCCGTACCACTCCAAAGCAGAATATTTCGACGGTACTGTTGAGGAAGGTGATGCACCAGAACCATGGAAGGGTGATAAAGTGTTCAGAATGACCAAAAACCTAAAGGTTGTTTTTGGGAAGGTAAAAAAGAAAGAAACGAATAAGCGGAAGAGAAATGATGCCGAAGTGCCAGCAAGCCCTAGCGTGCCATTCAAGAAGCACTCCATTTTCTTTAAGTACCTTCCGTACTGGAAAGATTTAGACATACGCCATTCCATTGATGTCATGCACCTAGAGAAAAATGTCTTCGATAGCACCATTGGGATTATACTGGACATACCAACTAAGAGCAAGGATGGGCTGAAATCATGTAAGGACCTCGTGGATATGCAGATAAGGAAAGAGCTTCATCCTGTGGATGAAGGTAATAATCGAAAAGTGTACCTTTCGCCTGCTTGCTACACCTTGACAAGAGCGGAAAAGTGTACCTTTCGCCTGCTTGCTACACCTTGACAAGAGCGGAGAAAATGGCATTGTGCAAATCCCCACATGGGGTGAGAGTGCCTACTGGCTTCTCCTCAAACATTAAGCGACTAGTGTCAATGAAGGATCTGTCGCTTTCAGGCTACAATTCCCATGACTGTCATGTAATGCTCACAGTATTCCTCGCCATTGCAATTAGAGCAGTCGAACCAGTTCACGTAAAGCTGGTCATCACAAAGCTGTGCTATTTCTTCAATTCCATATCTCAAAAAGTAATTGATCCTGAAGAGTTAGGTCCTCTCCGGGCTTTCACTATACAGACAGTGTGCGAGCTTGAGATGTGTTTCCCTCCATCATTTTTCGATATGATGCAACACCTCATAGTTCATATCGTGCCTCAGGTAATTGCACTTGGGCCCCTTTACCTGCATCAGATGTGGCCTTTCGAACGATACATGTCCATTCTAAAAGGCTACGTACGGAACCGCGCCCACCCAGAGGGATCCATGATAGAGGGATACACAACCGAGGAGGTCGTTGAGTGTTGCATTGATTACCTAAAAGATGGGAAAGCAATTGGTTTATCGGTACCTCGACATGAAGGTAGATTATCTGGGAAAGGAACAAAAGGGAAGAAAAGAATCCACGACAATGACTACAAAAAAGTGAAAGATGCTCATTTCACTGTGCTGCAGCAACTCGCATTAGTGGAGCCGTACATAGAGCAACACATGCAGGAATTACAAGCAACAAATGTGGGTCGATCTAATACATGGATCATAAAGAAACACAAGCATCACTTTACTGAATGGTTCAAGGACCTCGATCTACCAGATGGCCATACCATGGAAGAAAGAACAATTAAAATGCTAGCTGACGGGCCATCAAGTGTGTACACCTCATGGCAAGCATATGATCTGAATGGATATACGTTTTACACAAAAGCGAAAGACAAAAGGAGTCATGCCAAAATAGTGGCGTTCGAGTAGAAGCAATCGACACAACTGGGCAAAAGAGCACATACTATGGATTCATAGAAGAAATCTGCGAACTAGACTACAGGCCAAATATGCAGATTCCACTGTTTCGGTGCCAATGGGTGAAACACCCAGCCGGCATGTCTGTGGACAACTTTGGGCTGACAATTGTCGACTTCGACAACGTAGGCCACAAGGATGACCCATGGGTGCTTGCCGATCGGGTCGCTCAAGTTTTCTATGTGACAGACCCATCTAATTTGAAGAAAGACAGTTATTTCGGGAAAACAAAGGATTTTGGGAGTTGATGATGTCGAAGATATCGAGGCATACAATCAATATGAGAACATGACACTATTTACAGATTTTCGAAACAAGATACTACGCGTCGAAGAATCAATTGACGAATCGCCGAAGCCATACATGAGAAATGAAGGTGTAGGGAGATATGTGAAAGGCTAATTCATGTGAACTGATGGATGATGAGTATTTATGTATGAAGTGCGACATGCATGATGATGGATAATGTTGAATATTATTTAAGTATTAATATGTGACATGATGAATATTTAAGTATTAATATGTGACATGATGAATATTTAAGTATTAATTTTATATTTTTTATTCAAACAATTTAATAAAATATTAAATATTTTTTTTAAAAAAATAAATATTTAAGTATTTATGTTGTGTAAATTTTACTTACATATATCTGCATTAAAAAAAGAAAAGAATTAAAATCATTAAACAATTTTCGCTGGCGGGCCAATAAGAACACCGCTAGCAAAAATCATTTTCGCTGGCGGTGAGATTAGGTGGCCCGCCAGTGAAAAATCATCGCCTATAAGTACACCAACGCCCTAAAATTTTCTAAGTCCGGTGAAGGCGCGAAAACCGTAGCGCCGCCAGGCTGCCCAAATTTTGTGCGCCAGCGAAAAACCTAGCGCCTCCACCGCCGACCGCCGCCTACTCCGCCGACCGCCTCCTCCGCCGACCGCGTCCTCCGCCGACCGCCGCCGCCTCCACCGCCGACCGCCGCCTACTCCGCTGACCGCCTCCTCCGCCGACTGCCGCCTACTCCGCCGCCGCCTCCTCCGCCGACCGCCGCCGCCTCCACCGCCGACTGCCGCCTACTCCGCCGACCGCCTCCTCCGCCGACCGCGTCCTCCGCCGACCGCCGCCTACTCCACCGCCTCCTCCGCCGCCTACTCCGCCGACCGCCGCCTCCTCATCCGTCGACCGCCGCCGCATCCTCGCTGGTGAGCATATGATGAATGCCTGGGATATTTGATATGCATGGTTTGATGAATGGTTGTTGAAATGCCTTGGATGATATTTGATGAATGTTTGATGAAATGCCTGGGATATTTGGGATATTTGGCAGCAGGGATATTTGGGATATTTTGAGTTTGAAATGGATATTCAGAACTGAACAAGCAAACTGAACTTGTACAAACAGTACATATTCAGAGAATTCTGAATTTTTTCAGTAGTGGAGCTTCAGTTGTACAAACAGCAGCAGGGATATTTGGGTTAATTCTGAATTTTTCAGTACAAACAGTACATATCCCCATTTAGCAAATTCTGAATTTGTGATAAACAGTACATATCCCTTTTTTCCTCTTCAATAACAGACAAACACTTTGATCGTTAATTTGCAGGGCAGCTCAAAACACACTAACACATATTCTTCTTTTTTCAGTGAACACTGCTCTTCTTATTATAAAAACTGAAACTCAAGTGCAAATGTGATTTAAATGCTGAAATATGCTGTAGAGAAAACTGAAAACTGAAATCTGAGATATCTTCATTAATTGAGTTTAGGTTCTCTGATCTGAATCTGATCTTAATTAGTAATACTGAATATAGTTATAGTAATACTGAATATAGTTCTAAATCTGAGTTAGTAATACTGAATATAGTTATACACCTTTTTTAAAGCTATGGAAAAACACAATGAAGCACAACCCGCGGGTGACAAGGCCAATGAAACTGAACCTATCGGCTTGCAAGTAATCGCGGAAGAATCATCGTCATCAAGCTCCGGTGAAGCAGGGAGTGACTCGTATCACTCGCCGAGTGACCCTCATCCTTCTCCTCCAAGGAAGAATAAGGGCGGTGGTGAGGACGACGAGGTTGACTCGGATTACATTCCCCCTGAGCCGGTGGTACGTAACATATTTTGTTTATCCAAATCTAATTGTGAGTGCGGATTTTAACCGATGACATGTCAAATACAATTACAGAAGAATGCTCCACGCCGCTCAAAAAGGAAAGCGCAAGCTGCACCTACAGAAAGGGAACCAACTGTGGAAGCCGCATCTGCCGTGTGCCCAACAGCTTCTAGTAAACCCAAAAAAAGAAGAGGCGAGCGAGGCAAAAACGTGCTGTCAAAAGAAGTCCACGCCCTTACGCGGATCGGTGAGAAAGGGGAACCTCTATCGCCTGAAGATGTATGTTCCAAGTATAGCAACCAATGTGGGGCGATAGTAAGGGATAACGTGGAGATCACATTTAAAGATTGGAAGAAAGTTAACCCAGCTAAAAAGAACATGTGTTGGACGGAGCTGAAAAGTAAGTTTTCTTTTCCAGAAGGGACAGACGAAGAAGTAGCGAAGGATTTCGCGCTGAAGACTATGGGCAAGTTATGGCGAAACTGGAAAACGGATCTGAACACGAAATATGTTCAAAAGGATCGCCAACCTTTTAATGACTATGGAAAGATAACAAAGGCCCAGTGGGAAGAATTCGTGGCCTTGAAGACATCAGCGGAAGAAAAAGAGAAGAGCCAGAAAATGTCAGAACTGACAATAAAAAACATCTATCCTCATCATTTGGGATCGGCCGGTTACCGTCCTAAAGCCAAGAAATGGAGAAAAGAAGAAGAAGAATTAAAAAAGGCAGGCAAACCAATTCCTATGGAACATCATAACGAACGAGCCAGGAACTGGGTGCATGCTAGAACCCCATCTTTTAACTCGGAGGGCGATGTAGTCTTCAAAGATCCAAAGCTCCAGCAGGTAGCCAACAAGATGAAGGAGATCGTCACACAACAAAAGGATGGGATATTCGTGCCAGACAGAGAAGTGGACCAACTGTCAGTTGCTTTGGGAACCTCGGAGCATGGAGGCAGCGTTCGAGGAGTCTCCTCAAAGGCTAGTTGGAAGGATGGCTTCAAAGAAGATGCTGCTAGCTACAAGAAACGTGATCGATATAAGGAGGAGTTAGTGGCTAGCTGTAGGGCAGCAACATTGCAAGAATGCATAAGATTTTTTAACCGAAACCCGGAACTTCAGCAACGCGTTGATAGGATGCAAGATGCGTTTCCTATGCCCGATGTCCCTAGCTATCCAGTCGATGATATAAAGGAAGATACTCCTTGCTGACTGCTTATTCCGGTTGGAAGGACAGGAAAGACAATTCAGGTTGCAACTGGAAGGGCAATGCCAGGGCGCAGATTTCATTGCCAAGATATACCAGATGACTATGCCAAGGAAGAGGTGCGGACGGTAAATGAGGATCATAGGATGTACGAGATAGACTTTCCAACACCCGAGGATATCGTGTACCTTGGAGATGCAGTTGACCAGATAATACTATGGCACAAAAAGGATATTCAATTAGGATCAACGGATTCTCCGCCAAGGATACTGCGGTCACTATGTCATGCCTTGCGTAACATGGACGAAGAACCGAGGGATCCTCCAGAAGATGCATCACCTCGGCATCAACCTGAAAAGCAAGTCGATCAGCCTGAAAAACAAGCAGATGAACCAGAGCTTGCAAAGCAATCCAATCAGCCTGAAAAGCACGCAGATGAACCAGAGCTTGCACATCCAATGCCTGAGCAACCAGAGCCTGAGCAGCCAATGCTTGATAAAGCAGAGCTTGAAAGGGAAGAAGAGGTTGTACAAGAAAGGGAAAAAGAGGTTGTACAAGAGAGGGAAGAAGAGGCTGTAGAAGAGCACAAAGAAAAAAGTGCGCCCAAGAAAAAGTTTGTGGTAAAGGCATTCCCAGGAAGGAAGAGAGATATCAAGGGGAAAGCAAAGGATGTTTATGATAAAAGGAAAGCAAAAGGCCTGAAAATAAGCTTGGATAAAACTTTGAGTTTTATTCCTACCGTTGATGTGCCAGAACTATTTGAGAATGGCAAAGCATTCCTCCCCACATGGGAATTAGAAGAAGGACCTTGGCAATTAAAAAGGTGGCATGAATGGTACATGAAAGCAAGTAGAATAAAAGGCCTTTCATCATTTACAGTTGCCGTTTCAGAGGAGGTTTTCATGAGCGGGCCATGTCTACTACATGTTAGTTTTAAGGATATGCATGCTCTCTACCGTAGGCAAAGACTCGATGCCAATTTGGTCGCCATTTGGTGTCTGTAAGTGCACGAGTACTAGCTAAATTGATGATAGTACCTATGCATTATAGTACTAACTAATTCGATCATCCATTTTTTGAAGGATGAATTACGTCATAGCAGAACAGATGCGTGAGACTGTCGGCTTCCTAAACCCTTGCCGTATAAGTAAGCCGAACCACACCTTCACGCTAGATGAGAAGAGGGTACCAGCACATGTTGCGGCCATGACTCCCGAAGAGAGAGATGCATACCTGACAGAAAGGCATCAAGCTAAAATTCGCGATGTGGCTACTTACGTAGCTATAGCACTTGAATCAATGCAGGGCAAAGAATGCATCTACGCCCCATACGCCTTTGAGTAAGTTTTCAGATCTAATATCTACTAGGAGTATATACTTAATCGCGGCTCGACTAAGGATTTTTTTTTGTAGCGACCACTGGATTACTTTTCTTCTATATCCAAAGTATAACGAAGTTATAGTCTTGGATTCTCTTGATAAAGACATACAATCATATCAGGAAATCCTCAGAATCTTCGATCTGTAAGTTATATATATATGGACGATTGTTTTATTCTCATGACAACATGTTGTTAGCTTTGATGAATCTAAATTAATTGTTTTCTTCAAGCAGTGCATATAAAAGGTATTACCAGGTAGGCGGACAACGGCGAAACGACAGAGATCAAATATACATCCGCAATAAGTGGCCGGTAATTAATTTTGGACGACATACAACTACTTAATTTTTATAAATGCATGTGTATATCCATTTATAATTAACTAATATACCTTATATTGATGTCAAAAGTGTCACAAGCAACCGAAGGGAAGCGTATTATGTGGATATTATACTTGCGAGTTCCTTAGGATCAATGGTCAATATTGCAAAAATTATGGAGATGTAAGTAGATGCCATCAATACGTTTGTTAAATTAATTGCTAACTTTGAATTGCTAACAAGTTCTGTTGCCATTATCTCGATGCAGCTTCCAAAATTTCCCAAGAGTGATAGGGAGCTGGATGATAAATCCATTCAGAATATACAACGAGACTTGTGCTATTTCATTCACAATGAATGTTGTCACCAGCTTGGGAGGTTTTTTGAGAAAGAAGGGCTTTTGAGCTTGCCAGAAAACGATATTCTTTCTAACTGGAGCAAGCATGCAATTTAAATTCAACGTCAATGTCGTTAGTCGACTTTTAAGACTAGCAGTAGTGGGATATAGTAGTAGTTAGCACATATATATGTGAAAATGTCCAGGTCTGCAGGTGATGGAGAAGAAGGTGGTGAAGTCTGAAATCTGAAATCTGAATTTACTTTTGAATCTGAAATCTGGATGGTGGTACCTCCTGCTATTTTTGTTGCTGCTGCTATTCTGATCTGAAAATAGATATTGAAATGCAGCACATGTATGTTTCAGACAATATATTAAAATTGAGATGAACTATGTTGCTGCTTCTGCTGATTGCGATTGAACTGATTCAGGTGAATGCTAGCTTTATATATATAGGGACATTTTATTTTGTAACTGAAACTGATCTGCAAGATGAAAAATGATGTGATGATGTCCCAGCTGTATATATGTGATGTATGGCTAAATATATCTGAAGAGCTGTAGGACTGAATATGAATACGAGCTATGAATCTAAGTCTGAATCTGAATTTAGTGCAGTTGCAGTACTGAACCATTGCAGATGGGATTTTCCAGGAGATGAGCTGTTTGCTGCATTTTTCAGGAATTGGTACATTCAGGATTCTGTGCTGCAATTTTTGAATTTACTCTCTGAAATGGATATGTTCTGTTCAGAAATATATGCACATAAGTTAATAAATGGGTAGATGCAGAAATATATATACTTGTCCTGAAATTTATATGTTATGATCTGAAAATTGTATACATATGCTGATCTGAAACTGATCAAGTGCAAATGTAATTTAAATTATATATATTCTGAAATCTGTCCTAGTATATGTTTTGGAGAGCTGTGGGTGAATTCTGAAATCAGACCTAGTATACTACCTGTGGGTGAATTCTGAATTTGAGCACAAAAAGATGTATTGTATTCTGCTATTTTTCTGAAATCTGAAATTATATAGCCAAATAGTGTAAGTTTTCACTGGCGGGCCACGTGTCAATAAATGGCTGGCGAGAAGTTTACCCTGGCGGCCCACGTGTCAACACACGGATGGCAGGCAGTTTTCTCTGGCGGCCCACGTGTCAGCAAACAACTGACTGAACGCATCTTTGCTGGCGGCTGTCCTTAGGCAGACGCTAGCGAAGCAAGTTTTCTCTGGCGGTTAGTACTAGCGAGCCGCTAGCGAAGAAAGTTTTCGCTTGCGGCTAGCTTTAGCGAACCGCCAGAGAAGAGATTTTCGCTGGCGGCTCCATTGAGAAAGCCGCTAGCGAAAATAGATCTTCTCTAGCGGCTGGACTCCGCCAGAGAAAACTATACATCTTCACTGGCCTTTACTCTCTGGCGGCTCCTACTACCGCCAGTGAAAACCTGTTTTAGCCGCCACAAAAAACGTATTTCGTAGTAGTGAAAAGGAAAAGATCTAATCTCTAATCTATAACTACTTAAAAAATTTAAAAAGTTTCCATCGTCCGTATATTAAAAAAACCTATTATCTTAACTAATTAAAAGATTTACACCTAATTTTCATCCATATGACCGTGCGATCCGTCCCTCCCAAAATTTTGGTTCGTTTATTTGAGTCCGAGTCTGTCTTAAAAAAACATCCCCGAGCTAGATCCCCAAATCAATCAATCAACTAGACAACCAAAAACAACAAGAAAATACCAAATTTAATCTTCGACCTCATGAATTTGATCCCCACAATAAACCCATGTATTATCATAAATCCAACAACAAAGGCAGGAGGAGGCACGTCGGGTGTCAAGGTGACCAGCGCATTCAGTGGCGGCGCAGAGGACGGTGAGGCGGCGCGGCTCCAGAGCCCTTCCTCCCGCCGGATCTGGCGGAGGGAGGGCGCCTCTGGGCGGCCACCGCTCCTCCCACTACACGCCGCCGACGCAGCCGCTCGCCGCTGCCACGGAGGGGAGGGCGCGGCCATCGCCACCGATGCCGCCTCCCGCTGCTGGCCGCACCGTCTCCGCCCACCGCCGCCACCCGTCACCCACCGCCTCCTTTCTTGCGCCGCCGCCTGCCGCCTCGGCTCTGAGAGAGAGGAAAGCGAGAGAGGAGAGGAAAACGAGAGACCGAGAAAAAATCATGCGAGATCTCGGCCTTATCTCCTCGATGGCCCCACTGGCTCGGCTCAACTCGGCCTTATCTCCGCTGTGGATGGATGGATAAGACTCGGCTCGGTTTTTGCAGGTGCCTTTTTTTTTTAAGAAAAACAGTGTTATAGGTGTCGGTTTTAAATTAACCTGCACCTATGATATTTTATAAGTGTTGGTTTTTTTTTTAAAAAGCCGACACCTCATAACTAACTAAAAGATGTAACTTTCCGATCATCACCTCATCCGTCAACACGATACTTTTTCGTCCGTCCCCTCCAAAAAGGAATAGTTAATTATTTGCCACTCTTACCGATGGTGATAAATGATTTGCCACTGGACCCACATGTCATAAACACATGAGGGCCCACATGTTATAGACATCGAGTGGCAAATAATTAATTGACACATCTTAAAAATGCCCCAAAGTTAAATATCCAGGAATCCCTCGTCCAGAACGTCTGAGATGAGACTCCAAGACAAAAAGATAATCATCTAGAGTCCGCATCAACAACCAAATGCACGAGCGATTCAGCGAAAATTCATCACAAACATAGATACAAAATCCAATAGGACAATCAAGCGAAAGAGGAAAAAAAATAAAACATCACCGGAAGCCGCCGCCACCATCGTAGCCGTCAGATCCGGCGTGGGAAGCCACCGCCATGCGTGTAGCCGTCGAGGCTGCCGGATCCGCCGCGGGAACTGCTACCACTGTCGTCGCCATCGGATCCACCGCGGGAAGCCACCGGCGCCATCGGTGCCACCGGATCTACCCGCGGGAAGCCGCCGCACTGAGAGGCGCCGCTAAGAGGGGAGGGGAGGGGAAGGGGGAGAGGGAGTGGCAGAGAGGGGGCGGCGGAGGAGGAGTGGTGCCGCCGGTCGGGAGAGGGGAGGGGAGGGGGCAATGCGCCGCTGGTCGGGGAGGGGCCGAGCGGAAAGAGGAGCTTGCAGTCGGGGGAAGGTGTGATTAGGGTTAGTGTTTTGATGGATTTAGAATCAATCTGAGCCGTCCATCAAAACAAAATGGCTCAGATCGAGCCGGCGTCCATATCGGGCCGTAGCACCACGCGCAATAGCTGGCTGATAAGGTCTAATGGGACTTTTTCTTACAACTTTTTTTATTTCTATAAGGAATATGTTTTTTTAAGGGCTCATATCATAAAATCTAAATCCTAATCATCTAATATTTTTATATTTATTATATTTTTAGTTTATCCACTGCAATAAAAAAAATCTTTTTTATAAAAAAATCATCTAAAATGTTTAAACTATAAAAAAAATCTTGACCTGTTCCCTTTGCTCTTTTTTTTTTCTTTGTCCCTATCCGCTCTTTTTTTTTATATTTTTTCCCTCACTGTCTAATCTTCTTTCATTTTTTTATATCTACTTATTAATATTTGACCTCAAATACGATTTGTAAATAAAAAACAATACTTACTCTCACCAAAATAG